AACTGATTATAATGAATGAATGGAGAGCAGCCCTTAAGAGGACCTGCCACCCATCCTGTTGGCATCTGAGCTCTACAGCAGGCCCTGAACAGATCCATCAAGTGACTGGTGGAGGCAGCATTTTGGGTGAGTGATGTACATGTATCAGTAGAAGAATAAACCCCAAAGCAATGGGATGCTGTCAAAGCACAGGAATGAAAAACCTGCAGATAAAGAGTAGCTATAAAAAGCCAAAAGCTGCTAAAGGGGGAAATACTCCACTGCTTGGGGAAATACTCCACTGCCTGGAGACCTGCAGGCTGATTGACCTGGTCACTGCACTGCTACCACTTAGACCAGCAAACAAACACTCACGGATGATAAGGACAAGCAATAATCAGTGGGCATATTGGCAAGGAGGGAGTGCGGTCCTGTGAAGATAGGCAAATTGCATGCATAGATCCAACGAATTTGCATTATAATCCTGCAACAACTAAATAACCCAAATGTAACGTGTGCATGCATGGACATTTGCAGCTCTAATGTGCTTATGACAGAGAAATGCTATTAGTGAGATGGGCTACGTAGCCCACAGAAGCTACATATGGACTAGAAAGCCCCCACTTGGCTCTATGGCCGAGTAGAGAATCTTGGTAGAGAGAATCAAAGAATGTGCCTTTGAAATGTGAAGACACACAGTAAAATATTCTGTTTCTGTATTTTTATTTATTTATTTTTTATGGCTGTTTCCTTAAAGCAGGAGCTGCTGTCATGCAACTACTTTACACTTACATTTTTCTATGACACCTCTAAGTTTCAAATTCTGACTTCTTAGCAGTTTTCACTGTCCTTTTACATTTCCTTGAAGACAGGATGTTTTACTTTAGGACACCTACTGTTTGGAAAGTAAATTTATGCTTAAAGTTCAGCTGGTGCTTAATCCTTCTGCTGAGTTGGCATTTATGTCCTATATTCATATGGCTTTCTAATGAGATCTCTTCCATTTCAGAGTCTCTTCTTTCTTTCTTTTTTTTTTTTACTCAAGTGTTTAGTATATTCTCTCTCTTTTTTTCTTTTTCTTTATTTTTTTTTAAACTGATGATGATAAATCATTTGTGAAAGTTTTGTCCTGGATAATGGATTGACTCAGTACAGGCTGAACTCTTTCAGATTATTTCAGACACATCTGAATACCGAGTCCTAGGTGGTGGCTCAAAAATTGGTTGCTGATATATCAGCTCTAATCTATTGCATAAGCAGGAATCTCGAAGCAACCTGACACAGGTTTCTTTGCAGGTGTTAGAGGAGAGTGGTGGCGATTGAGGCGAGCCCGCCAACAGAGCACAGTCTTGCTAGACTAATTTAGATAATATCACTCCACTCATTATAGCAAGTGTGTTTTCATTTTTTACTACTTAGGAATTTATTTTGAAATTATGCTAATTAGAAAAGGTTGTATTTCTGTYAGTATTTATATTAATTCAGTCTTGTAAAATTTACTTCACCCACTCTKCTAGGTGGAGTGACTTTTTTATGGATGAGCAAATGTTATAGCTGAGCTGTCAATTTTTTGCTATTGCTTCATTAATTTATTCAGGAGAAATATTTCAATCCCAAATGCTCCTCTGTCAACAAATGACAAGATTCCTGGATTCGGTGACAACYTGGAAATTCAGTGATATCTTCTTCCCACTCTGAAATGGAAACGCTATCAAGTCTGTCATGTGAAAATGTGTTGTGTACTGAATATAGCAGTATTTTGACATTACATTCAATGTGCTAGTCTGTGCAAGGGTAAGTGAATGAAGCATTCTTTACCTGCTCAAATCTCTTTAACTCTATATAAGTCAATCTCATCTTAGCCATCCTAGTGATCTTGATTCCTTTTCTTCTCCTCGTTATATAATGAKGATACAAATTCTAGGGGAAAATCAATGTACATAGATTTCTAGTTGGCCTAATTTACTTGATACAATATCCGCGTTTGTTTTAAATATACTTAATATTTTCACATTTAGTTTATGGAAATACCCGTTAGCAGAAGGGAATGCTGGAGGATTTGGCCSTTGAGGGAAGGGCTAGTGAGAACTTTTTGGAACTTCAGGGAGGTGAAGGAGTTTTGGATAGTAGTATTAACATATTGACTAAATGCTTCTGCTACAGGAAGGAGCACGTAGTGGGACAGACTAGAAATTCCTTAGTTTTGATGGAATAAATGTGCATTTTAAAGATGATTTCCATAGCCACGATAGCTGAAAATATATATATTTCTGGCAAAGTCCTATCTTGGGTTRGAGTTGTGCTGCAAGTGAGCACCATTGGGATGGATTCTGCTGTAGAGCAGTGCCTGAGCATATGATGTAGTGCAATTGTTGGGGAACTTGGATGCATAGCGTGCTCTGTATGGTGATGACAGCTTTTTCAGCTCTACAAGGACACAGCTACATGCTGCACAACCTCCAAGTATGTATTCAGAGCTCTACTCAGCATTGCTGCTGGCATTGTGGAAAACCAAAAATACCCTTCTTAATGCAGCCAGTGTTGAGAACTTCATTTCCTTAAAAAGGAATCTGGAAGACTTCCCAGATTATATATATGTGCGCTTCTGCTTCAGAGGATATGACTGCACTAGGAGACTGTGAACAAAATTAATAGTGGAGGGCTCTCTTGTTCTCGTGTAATATTCTCACTTTAGCCCTCCTAATGATCTCGATTCTTTCTCTCTCCATCATTGTGTAACAGGGGTACAAATCCTAAGGGAAAATAAACATGTGCATAGATTTCTAGTTGGCTCAATATTGTGTATTAATTTGGGGTTGATGAACTGCAAATGGTGAACTTGGATAAACTAAATTTGGCTGAACTTTCATTCAAAGCAACAGCTAATAGGAATATGTTAATTCACTTAATTATGTTTATCRCACATTTTCACTCAGTTTTACTCTTCCAGATTTTGTCGAAAGGCGACACACAGTCCCTAAATTCCCATAAAGGGGCAATGATGTCCRAGATGTTTGTGTGACTTCTGTAATGAACTTTAGAATCAATCCATCATCACTGGTGGTTTCTCAGGCATTAACATACTACAGTATACTTCTCAGAGTCTCCTTTTTTTTTTTTTCAGTATACTATTTAAGCATATTACATGACCTGAGTTGAAATAAATGTTGACTTTGGGCTAGAATCCTCAACTCCAAACATTTTCAGATTTTGGTAGTAATTAAAGTCTTTATAACGAAGCAATTCACTTGCCATAACATATTAGCAATGTTGAACTTTGAGGCAATAAAAGTCTACACCATCTTCCGATTTGGTGGGTTGAAAGCACTTGCAGAGCACTGATCTATTAAAGATCAGTTCTTATTTTTATTAGTTTTTGGAGTTGTTTTTCTCCCTGTTGGAAATCTTCATTGCAGTTCACATTAAGGCTGAATTCAAGTTAATTACTGCAACAGCTTTTGCTCTCCTCTATAACTTGTTTCTGATCTCTGGTGGATCAGTGGCTTGTGGTCAGGACTTGGGTCTCCAAGAGGCTTAAAACATGTAGAATATTTTGATGTTCAGGAAGGTCATGTAACTGCAGAGGCTGAAAGTTTTAACTGGCAGAAGAGCCTTTCATTTCCGTTTCCATTCGGGTTGGTTAAACAATTGTTTTCTGCTTTAAAATAGGCGAGTTTCAAGTCTGAGTTGTGTGTGGCCTGTCTACCACATAAGAATCACCTCTTATACCTTTATCCTTGAATCTTAGCTTAATTTGCTGTTCTTTCTCTGTCCCATTTGTGCTTTCAGAAGTCTGAAACACTGCACCAAGGCTTGACAAACAGCTGTAGAAATATTATGGAAAGCAGAATGTCATTATTCTTTGAAGATGAGCACATGTGGCTGGTTTCTATTGTGGTAGTCCCAAAGATGCATGCTTTGCATGAGACAAACCCTCTTCTACAGTGAGGAGAAAGCATTAGCTTTCCTCTCATGCTTGATCATCTTTTCAGAGGCATTCAACCCAGCAGCTCTGGCCTAGAATTCAGGATTTGAAGGAAAGGTTTGGATCAAGATGTGAATTTTGCCAAGGCTTTCTGCATTTAGGATTYATTGCAGTAGAGTCTGCCACCGATCTGTCTGCCAAGCTGACAGATTTTCACGTAGAAGGTCAAGGCACGAGCACGGACTTAAAGCTGCAAGTGAGATTTGGTCTAAGTAACTAAAACGATTCACTGTTAGGTGCTGTGGATACAAGTGGGTCCCTTATACTCACAAGAGAGCAAAGCAGGAGGATATTCTTCCAGGTATTTTTGCCATAGCTAATACTATGTGATCTGGTACGTTTGATTCTAAATGTGTCAAGCCATCGCTTCTCRGCCTTTTGGCTAAGATCAAGTGTAGTGTAGTAAAATTCTTGTGCTCACTGTGGACGTGTCTAGGTGGGATGKGCGTAGGATTTGGTGTTAGGCAATGATCTTTTTACTGCACATTTGCTTAGAGAAACAATGGAAGTCGTGATGGCTAAAGCTTCATGATATGATATTCTGGGAAACCCAAATTCATGAAAAGCAGCCCGAGGATTGTAATAGATATTATTATTAATGAATTATAAAAAGAAATCTTGAAAAATTAAGTGTCAAAACCTATCCATCTCTGGCTGTTGAAATTCAGGTCCAGATGTGAGACTGGCATTTTGTGTGTATCTCTTCTATGCTGAAACACAATGGCAAAAAGCAACAATATTCTCTGCTGTCTCTTAGTGAGCAGTTAATCTAGCTCCATGTCTTAAATCTCCTCAGTGATCAGGAGTTCTTAACTGCTCACATTTTTCATTCCTCCCATCACCTGAGGAGGCTTGTCTACTGTCAAACCAAGCAGCAGTGACTTCCTGCTAAAATACAATGAAATGGAGCAATACCTTCTCATACTGTGAGGTCTACTTAATTTTTATTTTGTTACAAAATAGTTTTTTGGCCAAGTTATGAATGGAAAAACTGGTGTCACTTTGTACAGCATTTCAAGTTCTTAAAGGAATACAATTGGGAATGGGAAAGACTTGGGAGGTCATCTACTTGGTGCTATTCCGGAGCAGGATTTTTCCCTATGGTATATGTGTGTACATATATACATATATATACATGTATATATGTGTACACACACATATATTCCCATGGCTTTTTCAAGACTTGTTTTAGAAATCTTCTATTAATGGGGCTCTACTTGTTTCTCTGGGGAAATCCTCACCTATGGAAAAGACTTCACAACTTTTTCCTATTACACGATAAATCAAAATTTGAAGTACTAGATTCAGGTAGTAGCACAGATCCTCAGCTAAAAGTTTTGCTCCCTTACACAAAGTGTGGTCTACTCCTCATCAGGTATCATCTTTCTGAGCACACTCTGGTGCATCACTTCTATTCACAGTGGACCTGAATAGATGTTGTTTGATTTTAATGGCCCTTCTCCTGGATCATAGTRTAGATGTGTAGTGTTTCCAAATCACTTACAGTTCCACGGGTTCTTTTCAGGAACATATTGAAATGCTTTCTTAAAGCTCTGTGGAAAAGATTATTTAAACTTGGTATTCTATGTCTTGTTTCTTGTAAGGTAAATAGGGTGATTTTGAGCCTGTAATTTGTCGTCTCTAGTTTGGTTTACAAATAATTCACTTTCTAAGGCTTTCCCACAAAAAAAAAAAAAAAAATTAAGAGCCTCGGATTACAAAACTCTACAGAAGAGCACTGACTGGCTGATGTTTTACACAGACCAATACAGCTTTCCCTSTGATTTTTAAAAATCACATATAAGGCAAAAGACTTTAAACGACCCAAATTTTTGCATCCGGTTCCTCTTTCCTTGTCCTAGGTCTCATAAGCAAAGATCATTAAGCCTCAGATTATTAATTGCTTCTCAGTTTAAAATCTTCTGGGTTGAAAGTTCATTGTCTTTTAATGCTTAGTGGCCATTTTGTTCCCAGGCAATATATGAAATGTGGAGTTGGGGCTTTATTCAAAGTAAAGTTAAAATCCCATCTTGTAGTCCTGTATACCAGCTGCTTACTCCCACAAAACGTGTCTCTGTAGTTCACTCCGAGATGGTGCCTGGCACCCGTTGCGTATCAGTAACTGTATACAGTGATGTGGCCTGTATCATGTATCCAAACTAGTATTTCACCCTCCTGTTAATGTTTTAAGAGCTTTAATTGGACAAAAGGCCAACTCCAAGTTTGACAATTTGAGTTTACTGGACCTGGTGCTGATCTCAGAACAAAATGTGGAGCGTGGTTTTTATCTCTATGCTCAGCTGAGAGCAATGTATTGTATAGGTTAAAAAAAAGGACATTTTTCCACATCCTCCTTTACAAATTAGGTAAAATATGTGGCCTAACCTTGAACTCTTCAGCTCCTCTCCATTTTCTGTGGAGAGGCTCTGTTCTGGCCAGTGTATGATACAAGATCCTGTCCATTTCAGTGGAGTCACTCAGGACGTGCATGGTGTGGATTGCCCTTGATATATTTGCATTTCAAGCCAGAGTCTATTTGTAAATGTGTTAAAAGTGTACCTCCTTCTTTCCACTCGATCAGAAGAAGGAATTGGAGTTTAGCTGGCACCAGGCTCTACTATTTTGGCTGACAAGGTTTAGTGTAAACAAATGCAAGTCCGTGAATTATCTGGGATGAGGATCAGCTAGGGGTGCTGGCTTCCTATAGCCTAATCTAGTTGGCCTAAATGATTTATAAACTGGCAACATGATAAATGTTGTTTTAAGTGGACAAATCACATTGAAGAGGTGTAACTTTCTGTCAGGATGTAACATGAGCACTTCTCTTCGGGGAAGAATAACAATCACAAAGAGCAGCGAGGGTAACGGGATCACCAGTAGGCATATTCCTTCTCTCCAGCATAAATCATTAGAAGGGCATTTCTTACCTTTTTTGCATGTCCTTCTTCATCCTTTTCTCTTTTTTTTTTTTTTTGTCTCCTTTGGTGCTGTTTTCTAGCACTTCCCCATTACTTTGGAAAGCTAAACCCTCCATGTGATTTGTGCTGCAGTTTCTTCATAAATCTATGAAGCTTGTCTCCATCAAGCTGTATTTTCCATTAAAATATGGTTCCCAGGTGATTTCCAATACTATGAAAAACATGTAGCCATAAGTCTTTCACTGATTGTTTATTATCTGTTTAGGTGCTCCTGAGGATTTTGACAGCTAGGACTTGTATCATATGTAATGTAATAAAAGTGGATGTCTTCAGGTCTGCCTCAAATCAGGTCTGTTTCAACCTGGTGTTTTCTTTGCTGTATAGGTGAACAAAAGACRAAAGAAAACCCAAAGAAAATGCTGCAAGTTTTCTTTTATGAACAGCCCAAGAAGCAGTGATAATAAAGTTAGTATTTACACTCATGGAGAAGTAGGTTTACTTTAGATGGTTTCCAGCATAGGCAAACTGTTCCTCATTCAGTGGCAAGAAATGCGGCAGGATATTCTCTATGGCTACCTTGGATTTGTGTAAAGAAGTTTGTCATGGGATGCAATGTGAAAAAGCCCTCACAACAGCTRTAAAAGGTTAAGGCTTCCAGCTAGTGCTTTGTGGTGGATTGTTTTGAAAGTTGATAGAAGTTGGCTAGAAATGTTTATCTGTAGACAAATTTGCARTCATTTTGCAGGTAAAGGTTCTCCTGGCCTTAAAGGGAATTTTGCACTAGAATTAGAGGTCCAGCCCTATGTAAGTACTGATTATTTCCTATCCCAGAGGAAGCTGAAGAAGGAGTAAAGCCTTACCTAAACTCAAACAGCATTCTGTGAGTTCAGGTCACTGAGCCTGTGTGCTACATCTGTTGTTGAAAGGGATTCTTTTTCTTTTTTTTTTTTCCCCTTGGCATTTTTACTGGCATATATTTTTCTTGGAAAGAGCTCTGGAAGATTTTCACCAAGGAAAGGGTGACAGGGATGAACCAGTTCTAGAGGGAAAGCAGAATGACCTGAAGGAGATAGAGACTGTCTTCAAGGTGGCCCAGGAGATTAGAAGTGGGCAAGCATCCATTTGCTGACCCTGTAGTTAGTGTCGAGGCCTCATCGTGGCCTCATCGAGGCCYTGTGTGTGGCCTCATCACTTCCTCATCCCTGGTGCAGGGCTTTATTGATTATAGAAATGTAAACCAGTGCAGGGCTCAGAAGGAAAATAACTAATAATTATCAGTAACATTTGTCACTTGAGGGCTGTCTTCATCACAGTCAAGCAGAATGATTTACTCTGGTCAAGGAAACTGTCCACTCTGGGCTTCAGTGCATTTGTAATGTGGGAGGTTTTCCCTCTGCCTTGTAAAGAAATGTCCTTACTTCCCTTCCCAATGGTGTTCATCCAATTGCTAAGTAAATTTGATACAGCCTTGGGTTTGCATTGCATCTTTTCCAGTTGGACCTCAGAACTCACCAAATGAGAAWCAGTATTTTCCTAAAGGCTTGGTAAAACACTTACTTTTAAAAATAACCAACGCACAACAAATGTGAAAAAATAGCTCATTAAGTTTTGAGGTGCAGATGACTTCCTTGGAGGACGGACACAGTGATCTCATCACTGCTAAAACCTTGGCTTCGTTTCCCAGCAGGCGTGCCCGATGTGCAGATGAAATTTGGCTTACCACCCTGGTTTCCTTGCAAACACCCTTGACGGCACCTTTGSCAGAGCACAGGATAATTACGGTGGTGCCGTGTAGTGTTCATGCCGAAAGGAGCTGCCAGGTAAGAGTTTACTTAAGGAACATGCCACACAAAAATACTACGTTCCTCTAGTGGTCTTCACTAGCAAAGCTGAAGCTCTAAGAGCTACGTGAAATTAAAGTGCTTGGGATTTAGGGTTTTTTAAATCACTGCCTGCTTGGTACCTCATGTTATTTAAAACTAAACTATATTTGCAGCTGGTAAGAGAAAGAAGTTGATGATGTTCTGCATTGGGGATTTCAAAGAGAAGGAGCTCTGAATCACAGCCACGGAGAAATGCCTTATTTACCCACAGCAGGTTTAAAGCATCCAAGCCCTGGATGGTTCAAATCTCTGGCTGTATTCAGTCTTCCAGAGGCTCCACCAGTACGTGGACTCTGAAGAGAAAAATGGTAGATGTATGGTGTATGTTGAAAGTTGTACTTGCTTAAATCCAAAATAACTTCAATTGATGCAGATAGTGGTTTCTTAGTAGTCTTTGGATATCTTGTTTTCAAAACAAAATTCTCCTYGATCTTTGTTGTACGCTGGCAACTCTTGGCTGAGCAAACCCACACAGACACCTTTATATTTATCTATTTTTACCTTCTGTGTTGCTTTTTAGTCTGCACGGTTGCATTCCCCACCTCCAACTCTAACCGAATCTGTCTTCTGAGACTCACCTCTCCTTTCATCCTCAAGGTCGGAGGTGCAACCCGGGCACCCTGGTGAGCCACGATGCCTGAGACTCTCAAGATCCACTTACACTATGATGTAAAGATTCCTCATTCATTCCAGTAGTTTGGCTTCCAAATTTACTCTTATTTACTTTTACTCTTTTATTTACTGTCATTTTTATTTTATAATTTTAGCACTGGTTCACTCTGAAATGAAAACTTCTTAAACAGCAAGCAGATAAAACCCTCCAGGTTACAATCCATTCATTCAGAGCCGCATGCCTGCTCATTAACAACATTCATCTTATGACCGAATACCAGATATTTCCTTACTGAGCAGAAAATCATTTTTGCCCCTTCTGTAAACTAGTTTAATAACACTTCACCTTCTGCAGTTGAAAAAGAAGATTATATAGGATTCCTTTGCTGGCTATTTTAACATTTGAGGGYTTTTAAAAAAATATATTACTATTTATTTTTTAGAAAGTGGAAGTGAATACTTGTCTTTCCTTAGTAGGGATATTCAAATGGGAGAATTCAGAGCTACATCTCTGACAGGTGCTACAAAAGGATGCCATTCCTGAAAACCTTGATGCTTTTGGGGATAACAGAACTGAACTCACTGGTTTGGAGAAATGAAAAGGCTTTAGCTCAGAGGATGCCAATCTTTCCCTGGCCCTCTCTCCAACCTGCTCCACATCCATAAAAATTTTTTAATTTAATTTTTATTTTTTTTAAACAGTTCGTTCAGTTATTCTTGTGGAGGACACCTAGCCTTCCCCACATGCTCAGCCTCCTCTGGGCTCAAGTGAATTTTCACTTGCATCTCTGTAGTTTGTGTTTAGAATCGATMCATTAATTTCCATGGGATTGTGGTCTGCATTAACATAGCAAACGTGTGGTTAGAGGATATATGTTAGCAAGAAGAGCCTATAGCTGGTTACAAGTGTGAACAAGGTTTCTTCCAGGTAAGTGTGGTTGTTCTCTGGTAACAGGATATAGCCAATATATGCTAACAGTGGCTTTAACATAATCCTATGCTCTGGACTAATCTACTTGATGGAACAGGATGAGTTTCAACTACTGAACCCTCCCTCCTGAGGCCAAATGCTTTAAAGTCAGATCTGATGCAGATCCGTATCCTAGGGTTGTCAATAAGATCTCCAGGGCACCTCACCTCTTTTTCCTTTCAAAGGTAGCTTATTCATTTACTGAAGTTTCCAAATCAGCTGAGACTTAACATGCAATGTTGTGTGAACTGAGTGGGATTGATTTAATAAATAGCACAGAATTTAGTTAAAAATTTATATTCAGTCTTACCAGTGCTCACATGCAAATGGCATAACCAGCAACTGTCCCCCACTGCAGGTACAGTGAAAATCAGGAAGTTGGCTCTAAAACTCCTAAAAATTGTGGCTGAGGTCCCTTTTTGTGTGTTATCTGACTCCAGAGCTTTCATATTCAGGTTCTTCTCCACTACTGTGGGCCCTAAAAGAACTTTTCTCTGTTTAAATATGGTTCTTGCACAAGTCTACCTGGCAAAGGGCTGTACCTTTAACATGGTTACACCAAGAAAACCAGGAAAATGCTGTAAGAAGCATGAAATATTACTGCTCTTCTTTTTCCCCTCTTTTTATTTATGTGTTTCTTAAAAAAAAAAAAAAAAAGTATAGGTAGGCCTGGAAACTATTTCTTTCTATTTCTTGCCATGAGCAAACTTAGCTGCACAGCTGGTTGTGCCCCTGAGAAATGTGCAGTAAGGAAGTGGGGTGCTCTATATGGAATACTTGAAATGTAGGTTTGGTGCTGCCAGAGGTTTCCTGGACGCGGACACTCCTGGCATGATGCTGCAGGGACTCCGGAGTGGAGCTTGCTAAGGAGGATGAGGCTGAATCGTAGTAGAACTGTGGCTTGCACTGCCCCAGAATCAAGGGCTTTGCCACTCATTATTGTATTTAGGAAAATTATTTGATGCTGTGAATAACAGAGGGAACTTGAAGTTTACTGGGCTGGCTTTTTAATCTGCTGCTGTGTTTTGCTTTGAAAAGCATTGRTTTTCAAACTTGTGGTTTCCAAATGGCAACAACTGTCATTTCTCTCAGGCAGAACTCAATTAAGGAAAGTCTTATGACACTTCATATTTTTCTGGTTTGTGTGTAAAACTTTCCTGTCCAGAATAATGGTGTTCTCTGGTGCGAGTTCTTGGGTTTGCAAACTTGGAATGTGTTTTCTATGGGTCCTCAACATTTTTCATGCTAGAGTGAACATTCCTGGTTTGCTCTTTGAGTATTTGGGTAAAGCAAACATACACACACACAAAAAGTGAAAAGTTAATATGTATAAAAATGGGAATGAATGTTACAAAGAATTCCCCGATATTTGCCCAGTACTGACTCTTGCACATCCTCTGCCTTTGCTTGAACAATCGGACTTACCTTTAACGTGCACTTTTGAGCAGCTGGATTCATTATTGAACCAACTATCAAGAACCAGGGGATATGGCCTTTTTCAAATGTAATAAACCTCTGAGGACTGCAGAAGGAATACACTTGTCTTTAAAAATCAGACTGTTAAAATGAAAACTAAACAGAAGCTCAGATCAGATTCTTGCTCATGGATGCTTTGTAAAAAGCAGCTGTTGTCTGTTTTGCAATAGAAATTAGTAATTTTAACAAAGCACTATATTTCTTTTGATGGCCTATAATGTTCATTCTCTTCTTTGACATGGAGATCAGAATCTGGCCTGTATGTTGTAATATGGTAACAAAAAATATACAAATACAAACACGCCTAAGTATGTGAATACAAGCCAGGCTATTAATTCGGGGAGTCTTGCCACATTTATTAATGTTCTATGTTAGGAGATTAAAGCTATAACATAGTTATGTGAATTATAAGCATCTCTTTAGCAAGTCATATACTAACCATAATAAATTTTAAAGGGTGGAGTGTAATTTATTGAACACTGTAAGAAAAAATAAAGTAAATGAGTTAGCTCAGGGGTGGTGTGGAAGCAGACTGCTTGTGGAGACTCTTGCTCCCTGAGGTGATAGAGGTTAAATGCATTACAGAGCTTATAGGCTTGCTCCCCAGAGAGAAGAGGGAGCTAGAYGTTTCTAGCTGACATGTCAAGGACACCACGCGCTTGCCCTCCTGACTAATGGTAAGATACTGAGCTGATAGCAAGGTTGCAATGGCAATTTTCAGAGAGAAAAATGAAACACAATAGGTGGCTTCTAATTAGAGAGGAGGGCAGCGTGCTGGGACGGCCTGCGAGTTTGGGGGCTGCTGACTGAAGGCATGGCGAGTTGGAGAAAGCTGATGCAAACATGGGCTGTTATTAAAATGTGAATGCCCAAGAGGGCWTTTTAGCTGAAGTTTTCACATTTGAGCACTATTCAGTTTAACCTTCATACAAAAACCTTGCATTTCAGACTCGGGTCTAGTCCTGCACATTGGCATCCGGGTGCCTATAGCCGTCGCTTTTGTGGTTTTTCCTCTCGTTTCCACTATAAATTGCTGACTTTGAGAGAGGTGGGATAGATCTGTAGACAGAGSATGTATTGGTGGATATGTACACGTGGAAGAAGATGCCTGGGAATGGTGGGATCACTGAGAGAAGAGGAAGGTACAAGGAGGTCAGAGCAAAGGGAGGAAGAGAAAGGCCAAAGTGAGTAGGTGGCTGGAAGTGCAAGGAGGGGAAGCGGGACCGGGCATGCCCCATGGATCCCAGTGACRTGACTCAACACAAAAATCGTCTCACGTTGAACCGGGGAACTTCAGCTTTATTAAAAGAAAATCTACTTGCACAGTGCTTGGAAAAAAAGACATCTTCCTAGCTGCAGATTCAGTACAGAATGGTAGTCAGGAGGACTGGGCCTGGAGAAACATAGCAGCATAAAGTYGAGATTCCTGCTATTTTAAGTTTCATTGGAAGGTAATTTGTTTCCTTTAATATYTTTCTAATGTTGGCTTTACAAGAAATCCCAGATATAGAGGATTTATATAGATAAACAGTCTCAGAATGTGGAGCCCAGTTTAGGGGTGTAATTTTCCTTCTTTATGTAAAACCTCTTGACTAATCTTAGACATTGTCCTAAGAGCATGATGAAAAAGTAACATTAAGTAATATGAGAAAAAGATGGTCCTTTCTTGCTGCTTGCAAGAAAGGACCTTTAGCAGCAGAAGGGAGGGTTGTTTGGAGAAAGAAATTCAGTCAACTCCAACCTCCGAGTGAACCTGCTGGGGCTGATTTGCTGCCAGCCCCTGGGAACAAAACTGCAGCGCTCGGTTCCTGACTCCCAGGAGCTCCCAGAGCCTGGAGGGTTCGCGCCGCTCGATCTGGCACCTCTCTCCGTG